CACAAATTGCAGTAGAGGCTCCCATCCAAAATTTTCACTCAAAACTCTAATTTTTCCCCTCCCCTTTTGCTCTACGACGCTAATACACACTGACGCTACGTCTAGCCACACGCGGCATGCCATCTATGCACACCACATGTTGAAGCAACACCGATCATTGTTTCAACATCATAGCACACAACTGATTGTAGCAACAATGTCAGATGTTGACATGTTGTTGCAACGTGTAGCGGTGGCAACGAAGCAACAATGGAGATGGAAAACGGTGGTGGCAGGGCGATAATTGTGGTGGTGTGGTTGTGATTGTGACTTAAAGAACGGGTAAAAGAGTAAATTAGAGTTTGTGGGTGGAATACACACGATATTTGAAAGAAAAATTCTTACTTGATTTTTGAAATGATAAGTTCAAAAGTAGTAGTGAATCTAATTTGCACTCATTTTTATATGGATTTGACTAAAGTGCAGGACCTAATTAGTCTCTAAAATAATGAAGATAAAACTAATTGAGTGAGTTAGATTGCGTGTAAAAATTATGAATATTAGTTACTCATAACTTGTATTGTGGACGCGTCTATGTGCATATAACAGTTCACTTGCCCTACTTTTCAGCTGTCGAGATGTTGAAAATTTGAGAGAATTTCTTACCCCCCACGCCACCCCCCACACACACAACAATTAAAAAAAAAAGACGACTTTATTGTTGAAGCATCACTTTAATTTATTGGATTGGATGGTATTAAATAAAATTATACTATATAAATTGTCAAACGACATGACTTTGCATAAGAAAATTAACAAGATTTTAATTTATCTATTTTCTATAATTATTTCCAATATTATCAAAATCAACCAACCAAAAGTTCTATAAAAATGTATTCAACGGTGGAGTATAAAAAGAAGTTAAAAAAAAATTGCAACTTATCTTTAACAATTTAGGGCAATAATTTTATATTGTGGAAGATGATTGAATGATACGTTCAATATTAAGGCCCCGTTCGAGAGGAATTAAAAGTCAATTAAAATTGAAAATATGGCCGTTATTGGGTCCCACTCGTCTAATAAAAGTCAACAATAACGACTATATTTTCAATTTTAAAATTTTATTTATTATATTGATCAATACAATTTAACACTTTTACGTATAAAACACATGTCTAAACAATTGGACGTTCCCACCAACTAGACAACTATCATTGTTTTAGATGACTAAACTAAAATCTCCCCCCAAGTAATTGTCTTTGTTGTTGGAGTATCATTTAATCTCAACTTTGATGAAGATTTACTCTTTTCAAGAACTTTGAATTTAATGTGCAAAGGCCACTATGATTTGGCTTCGGCTATTTGTTAATAAAAACTTCACTAATTACGAACATGCTTAAGTGCTTATTTATTTTACTTATACATTTATAGTATTTATCGTCCTGTACAAAGGTGGGAAGTAGGGTCGAGCCATGCCGAACCGCTCGACTCCTCTACCGTTGAGCTTACAAGTTGGCTGGCTCGATCAAAGTGACTCGGCTTGCTCCACGAGCTGATCCCTTCGTGGGAAGAGTCGAGCCGGCTCACGAATCTCTCACGACACACCAATTTTATTTTAATTTTTAATGAAATTAGATTTTTGACGGACAACTCACACAAGCGAATCGCTACTTGTCTCACGTTGCAATTCACCTAGGAAGCAAGATGACTAGCGGCTCATTCACTTCCCTAGTCTTGTCCCATATAATAATACTCTTTAGCAATCCAACACAAATCTATCTCACTTCACCACACAATCGTTTTCAATAGTAAAATGTAAAATCCTTCTCGCTAGTTGTATAGAAGCATAATTATTTACGATCCATGAGAAGCATCTCAAAGCATCTTTAGGATGATTTATCTTAAATTTAAATTTCAAATATATGACTTATATTGATTTAGGGCCTGTTTGTTTTTTATTCTCAAATTCTACAGTAAATTAATTTTCATTTCAACCACACATTTTTCAATAAAATAATGTTTTCTATCACATTAATAATTTCTTCTTCTTTTTCAACCA